CTAGTTGTCATTAGTTTCACCTAAGATGCCTCGCGCATTCGGACTGCTGCCATCAGCATCGGTTTACCTGTTTCTCCCAAACCATCGCATCATTCGTTTAACGATTGTTATCTCGGTCTTTTGACGCTGCGCGTGCATAATCTTCTTTCTATCTAGTACTTGTAGTCTGTGTCACACCAGCGAAGTAATGTATAAAACGCGCTCGCAAATCACGTATACTAAACCAAATTACTTAAGTTTTAACGTATCGTAGGCAACGGTGAGCGCCACCAGTCTATGTTAATGCTTCTTGATTCATTGCTGTCAATCTGTTTGGCTGCCTCTTGTCCGTTGCCCGTTTTCCCCGAGATTCCCACAGTTGCTTCCGCCAAAACAATAACGTTTATCCACTGGGACTGGTCGACCCAGCCTCAAACGCTTGGTCTTTTCCCGGGAAATGAAGAACCCACACATCATTCCAAATGGAGCTCTTTCCGCCATTCTGGAGACGCTAAATTCACGGTGCCTAAACAAATGGGTTTAGCTCACCTCGTACTCAGAGAACGATTTACTCACCTGAAATAATATATTTACATGGTCCCCCGCTCCACAACCGAAGACAAACTACTCTGGCGTGATTACCTTCACTGCATCAAACATTCCTACACGCCAATCACCTGGAGCTATTTTGATGTCATTTCAAGGACAGCGTTGCGCTCGTATACGTGGCTTTTCCGATGGCCTTTCATGGAATCTTCACTTGGCTATGGAGACAGTTAAACTTACTTACATCTGCAGGAATCCCGAATCCACTTTGAGGAGAATGGCAATTTGACCTATTATGGACATATTCAGCCCCAAGAAACAACTTCGCTCACCGACCCCATGACAAGTCCAGCTTGGATATCTGGACACAGTTTGCGAGCACAACAAGAGTATAATAAAAAAGCCGGCCTCTAATAACAATGTGTTTACTCACTTGCAACATTATCATTCAACTCTTTGAATCTTTTGCATCATTGACCGGCTTCAACGACTGCTGCCGTATCAGTTCTAAGCCATTCTGCCAACCAACGAAGAATTTTGGCTGTCAACCGACTGCGAATAATAGAATGCAAAATCGGTCTATACGATGCATAACCGACTTGCACTACTGCTCAACGGAACTTACGGCAGTGTTCCAAGGCGTGGTGGGGTTTCGCCTGGCAAGCGTTCTCCCTATAAAAAGCCACAAATGTCCGCTTAACAAAACTGCAACGTGGCGGATGTGACTCGCCACAAAATAAAGCCACAGCTAAACATTTCACACAGACGCAGTCCTCAGCCTTCTACATCCAACCTGTGCAACTAATCCTACTATGAAGAATGCTTTGTTGGAGCACAGATAATCCCTATTTCGTAATGGTCGTTGGTTGCAGCAAACTTTGTTTGGGCTCCTGTGCTCCAGGATCATCACCTGGGTAAATTACCCCCAACATGTGTCTTGACGGATTTTTGCGTTCCACAGCCCCATAATGTTCCTTGATCTGACTATTCCCTGACAATATGCTCACTCATATGAACTACACTTTTCTTTTGGACATTTCATAAAACGAAATGTTTTAACATTCCAAAGAAGCTGTGCTTTATGCATATTTGATCACGCCTTTACGGGGGTGTCTCGTTTTACCGAGAATATACCGTTTATTTATTTATTAATTTTTAATGGGACGCAACCTGACTGCGAATAACCGAGCAAACAAACGTGCAGCCAGAAACATAGCCCGTTACAACTGGCCATTGAATGGATTGGTGGCAGTGTTTCAGGACTTGGTGGGTTTTCGTCTGGCAAGCGTTCTCTCTATAAAAAGCCACAAATGTCCGGTTAACAACGCTGCAACGTGGCGAATGTGACTCGCTAACGAATAAAGTCACAGCTCATATCTTCACAATGGCAGGGCAACTAGTGTCACCATTCTAGATAGGTTCAGTACACTGGAACTTCTACATCTGCAAATACTATCGCCTTTTTACTTCCTACGATACGTCGAACTTTGCCTTACTTGTGCACGAACTCACTCTATTGGCATATAGCTCTTGAGCGTGCTCTTCCATTACCTTCCAATGGATCACTCAGGATTCTCAATCTATTACTAACTGAGGTCCCGTATCTCATGACAGCCAAATTCTTGTTTCGCATTTTCACTATTGTACAGTTCCAATCATGGATATATGAAAAATTTTCGACTGTCACCGTCACAGTTGCCATAAAATGTTTGTACAGTTGTACATATCTGATCATGCCTCCATGGGCATGACCGCAGAGTTGAGAATAAAATATTTATTTATTTATTTAATAGGGACCCGAAGCCTTGGCTCTCGTTACTTGATAGTCCGCGTGCCATATGTTCGGGCGCGACTCAACAGTAGCCCGGTAGCGTCTAGACAGAGTATAACCGAAGAGCAAACAAACATGAGCAATGAAGCCCAGTGGAGGTCCGTAAGTAATATCACCAACAAAATTGAGTGACTTAGCAAATACAAGTTCTTAGATAGACGGTACTTTGGCGTCCATTTACCTAGTGGGGAGGCCCATGAACTAAAGCAAAGATACTTGGAGCGTAAGCTCAAGCAAAGCAGCGCCGAATGTTCCTGAAGCTGAGTCGCAAGAAAGATCTGCCAAGCAAACCTCTGAAAGATTGACGTCGCCCATCACTAAACACTTGCTTATTGACTGGGAGCGAATGAAGTCAATTACCTAGTTGGATATGCTCACAGGGCTTCTATACACAATTACAATTGTAATCTGCGCAGAGGATATGCTAGTCACAGCCGATTGAGCTTCAACAGCTTTGTCTGCCGACTGAAATAAGCAAGTCTCAAAAATGTCGTTTACAGCTAACAAAAAGAGCAACGTCCCCTCCATGCTCCCCAGCGGAGCGCTCGCATCTAAGTGGTGCGTAGATAGATAGATGTACTTTCCCACCCGGGATGTTCCGAGATTGTTGCGTTTCAGCGAATGAGAGTACATCGGGATGAGACCCATGTACTAGCAAACCTACCTCGTACACCATAGTCCTTAGGCTGCGCACATTACTTAGCACTATCAGAAGATATTCGTTAGATCAAGAACTGGGCTGTGCGCCACCAGCAAGGGCAGTGGTAGGGCGGAAAAGGACCGCTAGCTGACCACCCGAAAACCGACTAACCGGAGGCTTCATTCACTGGCCGCTCGCCTGCCTTTTAGGGCCTTGATGGCCTCCCTTAGCTTCAGCCTATCAGCCAGCGGAAGGTCCGGCTGAGCACTAATATTTGTAGCTTTCAGCTTAAAAGCAAACCGCATGACAGCATTGCGTGCCTCCGGGGTAGGAAGTACGACACGAATTAGCAGTGGTCGAGGGTATGATACATCAACTGGGACGTCCCCCAGTCTAAGCAGCTACCTGACAGTAACCCTCAGAATACCAGGCGGAAAAAGCTTCTGTATGCACATTTTATTCCATTGAAGGTCGTCCAACGTGCAAGCAGCAGGAAGGACAGCAGCAGATTCAGCTGCGTTACGGAATATAACGTTACCAGCCGTGAAAGAATCACCACGACGGGAAGTGTTAACCACACTGGTCTTTGATTCTACACTTGGAGCAAGTGACTGCACCAATGGTGATGAAACTGTCTTTTTCCTCTCGTACGCTGCCATATGAGGGTAGCGTATCTTTTTCGTATGTTTTTCGCTCCAATATCGATGTCTTACTATTTTCGGGTCATCGATTCCAAAGAACAAATTTATGGCAGATTTTGTCTGCTTTTTATTCTCGCTAACGGGAGCAGGGTCCCGCGACGCTTTTCTACTTTAAGCAAAGTCAAGCCAACCTCCAGAACGTGCATTCACGGTGAGAGCCAAGGTATCTGGCGGCTTCGGATGACAAGTATTGCGTGCGGAATCTTCGCATTCGCGCAAGCATCAGACAGGTTGACAAGTACCGACACTTGGCTTGTATCCGTTGCAGAGTCAAGAATAACTTCTTGTTTAGCAAAGTGGTTACGGGGCTTCCTGGCTGTCTTTCACTTTACTCGAAGGAACCCTTGAACCAGCTATTCGGCGTCGATCCGGGTTGCTTTAGATACGACGTCCGATGCAGCTTCATTTTTGTGGTCGGTAGCTCTCTGAACGGGTGAGATAATGATTAGTGCCGCAAGATAATCTTTAGCGTTAGCGATCAAATTTGCGCTGTTGGAGAACGGAAGCGTCGTCATGCGCAGATCCATCTTAAGGCGAAGTTCTGTGAGAATCGAGAACGAACACTCCACATTTTGCAGCCGGGTATCAAGAGATTCGTCTCTCGTACGAAAAGCCGCACTGCCTTGCCGGCGGCTGCAGCAATTGGCACAACTGAAAAGCAACATTTCGCTGGAGGCCATCGCCGCGTACTGCTCGGTAGTTAAGTACACACAAAGATGGTGGCACCACCGGTTGTAGCCATCGCACTGCATACTGCCGGAATCGTCAGTTACTGGTATGTTGCAGCTTGAACTGACACAACGTGCGATAAACTCAGCACCCAAGCCAGCTGGAACAAAAGCCTCGGTGCATTGCGAGACCGACATAGTGGAAAACAGAGTAGAATTATAACGCGTATACCATAGTTAAACGATCTCTATAAAAAGACAAAAAATTGTTTGCAAAACGGAATTATAACTGGGAAAAACCGGCAAAATTGCCAGTAAGTGCGAAAGACGCTTTGACCAGTACCACCATAATCGATCCAAGATATCTTGGATCAGAGGAAATTTGACATTGGTCAAATTCCAGTGTAGGTGCTTATTCAAACACCGTTTTACGCGATATTTTAGCTAAAAAGCTCGATCAGTATTGCACGTCCAAATCCAGTTATCGCGTAGTACTGCCGCCGAATTATACCGTTTAAGCAAGCTGAGTCCTAACAAAATAGTACTTCGTGAATATCCCTTTAAATGCGAAAAGTGATCTGTCCTTTGCTAACTGCAGAGAATGGTTAGTGGACTGATTACGCGCTCCCTCGCGGATGACTTCATGTTTCCTCAGCCAATCGGGATCCGTATCCAGCGGTGTAAGTCCACTGCAACATTCGATCACCCGTCAAAACGTTTTTGTTTTTATTATTATGAACTACACCATCTTATTTACGCTAGCCTGTTATATTTGTAGCATTACGATGGTACTTTTTGATATTCAAGTTCTCATGTTCCTTAGTAGTATTCATTGAGCCGCTTTTCGGCCGCGAATTTAATAATCTTCTTTAATAACGTGCACTAGAAACGTCTAGATTCAAAGACGATAGACCGAAAAATGTCCGTTGTTGTGATCGCGGAAGCGCCCTGATTGTCGTCTTTTATGTCCCAGACCGTTCCAATGGGATACATTTTGGACGAGTTTCAGTCACTCAGTTCAGTTCAGTTCAATTCAGTTCAGATAGGGACTGGAACGATAGGAGAATCCCGTGAGTGTTCCATCTTGAGTGGATCGTTGAGCCAGGAATTGATGAAGTGCTCAGTTATTGATGGATCTAAAACGGAAACACCCGTATCGCACCCTGGCCAACCAGTTAATGCCCACGTTTCCTGCCCTAGCAGTCCCTGCTGTGGCAGTCACGTGAAGTAAGCAAAGGATAGGAAGAGAAATCGAAGGTACAGAATAGGGAAGTGCACTTAAATAAGGAAATAATACCAATACGTGAAGAAAAGTAGAGAAAAGAAAAAGGAAAGTAGAGAAAAGAAAGAGAATTAATTTCCAGCGCACTCTTAACTTATATGACGAATGATTTTTTGGTTGCTAGTGCCGTCAACGCTAAGCGCAAAACGATTTCCCAATTCTAATTCCTCGACACTTCCGCCGTAAGGCTAAACCGATTTTTTAAGGGACCATATTCGTCCCATGTATGTCCAACTGGGACGGCTAGGTGCATGAATAACGCACTCGGTGTGCTCTGACGGTTACTTGCGTTGACTACTAAATACTGAGAATAGAAAACGAGGATAAAAATTTGTTGCTCCATCTTAGGTAAATCGGGCACCTGCACGGAATGACGTCGCTGATTCCTACGCGGTGTCAGCATATTGCAGCTGTACTACATCTTATCCGGGTGCGATGCACTCCCTATACATGTAGCCCACAAACAGGACGTCAAAGAATCTCTTACATTCCGTCATTGATTTTGCCTCGGCTTTGGCAACTTGTTCCAATATTTAACCACTCCATGCTCGAAGTATAGAGAGTAAGCGATGCGCTTTAAATGCGGTGCCACTAGTTTGTACTGATGTCCGCGTGTGCTGCTTGGTGCGCTAACTTGCAGCAGCGGCCTCAAGATAGGGAAGTGGCCCTGGTGCAATATGCGGTGCGTCAATAAGATCGTCGGTCCTCGTACGACAGCACGTAAACAGCGGATGAGCCGGGTAGCTGCATACTGGACCCGTCCAAGTCTCTGCGTCTCACCTATTGTGACCAGACGATAGGCGTGTGAGCCGTACTCAAGCACTGATCTTATCATGGGAGAGAAGAAAGGGATGACAATCTTTTTAGACAAGTGCAAAGCTGCGTCTAAGTGCCCAAAGTAGGTGCAGTTCTTTTACATGCAGTCTATTCATGTTGTCGACAGACCTCAAATCACAGCGTGAGAGTACGCCTAGAACTGGTGGAATGCATCTGGTTGCCGGCCAGTGTACGCATGCCCATTACCACCTCTCCCCAGGCTCAAACCTGAAGACTTGGCTCGATTGACCGGTAGATCAACTTCTGCAGACAGGCGGTAGATGTCTTGTTGTAGGACCTCACCGTCGTCGGAGGAATCAGTAACCCTCCAAATCTTCAACTCGTCTGCAAATAATGCACAACGCGACCGAAGAAACTGAGGCACTTCGTTTATATGGATCAGGAATAAAATTTTCCCCAGCACTGTGTTGGGGTACACCGCTAGAGGAGCGGTACCAGTCTGTTAGGTGGTCATCCACCTGTATTTGTCTTCTTCCACTAAGGAAATCACTGATCCACTGGTCCAGTGCGCCACCAACACCACACATCCTCAGCTTGTGGCACAGGACCTCATGGTTCACTTTCTCGAAGACTTTACTGATGGATAACATCTAATTTCCCCCGTTTCAACGCCTGCAACCATTCTTTCCGCGTCAGCAGCAACTTGGTGATGTACGAGCGGCCCTTCACGAAGCCGTGCTGTGCCGGCGTTAGGAGATCATTCAATTCTAGTAGCTGGAGAAGAGTCTTTTTCACAATCTTCTCGTGCACCTTCACCAAAACAGTGATGGGACAAAACGGCTGGTAATTATCCACATTGCGTGGCTCACCGCCTTTTGTAATCGGCTTCACTGCCGAGCATTATCAGTCACTCGGCAATGCACCCTCGGACAGCAATCTGTAGAACAGATCCGGCACGACAGGCGTGATGGTTGCTGATAGACACTTTAGGATAATCCTATTCAAGATGCAGAATAGTTTTTAACATATCTGAGCATATTACGCTATTTGTCGCGTAATCGAAACCAGTGGAAGATTTGTGTACGTACTTGTCTAGGTTAAGGTGTCTAATGCCTAAAATTTGAAGACGACAAAATAGTAATGACGCATAGAAAAATACCTAAAACTGTTCCGTTCTTTTTACCGTACAATAACAAGTGTGTCGCTCACCTTCAGCTAACGCGCCATGATAATGATGTGGTGATTAAATCTTTATTATTCCTACGATTTCCATGGTTTTGTTTGGCTCTATCTATTCGTCAGACTGTTGCCGTTACATACATTCGTTTTGTAGTCATCCGCACCCTTAACTACTGCCACGTTTTGCTCGCTGTACTTGATGATCAGTCCATTATCAGCTGTGAATCTTTAGGTGAGATGGTAGCAGAAGACTGACGCAAATAATCTGATTTTTAGACTGACACTTCACCAGAGCAGGATTCATCATCATTTCAGCATCATTTGACCGAATAATGATGTCCAAACGGCCTGGAATATGTTTGAATTCTTCCTCCCCAATGTATTCTCTCATATCCCGTTTTCAGTTAAGAATCCAAAATATAAGCCAGTATGATTGGATTCATTTGACCCCAACTGCTAAATAGATGAACGAAATGTTGGCTAACCTATTGGTCAGCCCCTCGCACTGTATTTTTTGGTGTTATTGCAACACGAAATGCTTGCAAGAATCAACCACGAGCTGATCAACTCCTCTTTGAGATGGTTGGCTAACTCAGCCTCAATGATATCCGTCGCCTCTAAATTGCTGATATCCATTCTGTTGCACAGGCTAACACTGATTCGAGAACTACAATCCCATGAGAAACTGGCTGGTTCCCGCTCTGGTCGTGGGTGTGCGGCCCACATGTTTACGCTCCGCCAACTCCTAACAGCGCCACCTTTATCGCCAGTCTACCATTGTCGCCTTTTTCGTCATGTGAGGTGCGTTCGACTCGGTCGACCGGTCTGCTCTATGGCGTTGTCTGCGAAGGAATGGGATTCATGAAAAGTATACCACCATATATCGAGCTTTATACAATGTCCTTAGTAGAGTTCGGGCTTACAGCAACATCTCTTCACCTTTCGCCGTCACTAGCAGTGTGTGTGACATGGATATCTTATGTCCCTGTTTCTCTTCAACTTTGCGATTGAAGATATCTCTTTAAGCTCTCTGGAAGATCTCCAGGGTTCTGGTGTAGTTTTCCTTCCAGGCAACCGCGCGACTGAGTTGAACCATGCTGATGCTATTGTCCTGCTCGGGGACGACCCGCAGGACATGCAGGTCGTTCTAAACCGCTTAGTGATTAAAGCTGCGAGGTATGGCATGAACGCTCCATAGAATTGCAAGGTCCTACTCCAAGGCTGGCATCCACCTGCCTTCATGCTAATTCCTGAAGGCCTGCGACTTGAACAAGTAGGTAGCTTTATCAACCTTGGTTGCTGCATTTTTCTGGTGGCACTATTGAAAGAGGGGTTTCTCTCCGTATTGCCAAAGCCCGATCAGCTTTCGCTGATCTGAGGCATCTGTGGCGTCGTCGTGACGTTTCACCCTCGGTAGAGAGCAGGATGCACAATAGTTGTGTTCAGGCGATCCTGTTGTACACAAGCCAGTCCTGGCCAATCTGTGTAAATGATTTGCGTCGGATTTCGGCCATTGACCGGTTATCTGTGCAGGATGGCTCGTGTGTGCTGGGAACACCACGTTAGCGACGTCGATGTCAGACGTCGCGACTTTAGGTTATACGGACCTGCCTCTTGACGAGCTAACACCGTCACGCCAATTATGGTGGCTATGTCACGTCCTACGCATGCTGTGCGAGCGTTTACCAACGCGCTCTCTATTTGCTTGCGCAGGGCCGCACTGGAAGAAATCGCGCGATGGTCAACCTCACATGGCGACAAAACGTCAAGACGCTGACTTCCAATCTAGCTGTTGCCAGTCCCCTAAGTTTTCCGGGTTGGGGAGTCAGAGATGAAGAACATCGCTGGTTGGGGGACTATTGTGGACATGACGCGTAATCGCGGGCAATAGAAGGCATGCATGAATCCTTGCATTGATTTTAATAAGCAACTGTAATCTCTAAACTGACAAAACGGCGTGTGAAAAACAAAAAACTTATCTTGGTGCGTTTTCCTTTTTTAAATCTTCGTGCTTATTATACACATTCTGCTGAGGTCTTTCCAACCTCTAGCTGACGTGTATAATGATGATGATTGCACACATACATTCCATGGTTTCTAGATTGCGCGATAAATACTTATATATATATATATATATATATATATATATATATATATATATATATATATATGTATATATCTATATATATTATTCGGCTGTTAAAAGGTGCAGTAAGGTAAGCTCATTTATCTTAGTGTTACTGAGCAGTGACGAAAAGCTTCTCCATGAGGTAAATTTTACTAAGGCCACTGGGCTGTGACATTCACCAGGAGCTTCTGCATGAACTAATAGGCGAACTGTGTGACCAAGTTACTCTTCTGTTCCAAATGTCGCTTCACAGCTAACTTCTGCCTTGTAAGAGGCTATCGTATGCACTGCTTTTAAGGATGACAAGCATCTTC